TGGTAAGTAAAGTGCGGCGTCTTGTAACTCAAATGTCAGTGGCAAAAGTCATCTACCAGTTTTTGGAGGATTTCAGTCTGTAAAATCGACAGAAGTCACGTATACAGAAGTTGCTTCCACGACATATCTAGCCAATCACCGCATGATTCAGGCAGATAGAGAATGAAACGGGAATTCATGCTATTCTATAAGAAAATATGCCAGTCGAGTCACCGTAAACAATCCTATAGATTTCTGTGTAGTTGGGATGTTAAAACGTATGCTGGAAAACCATTCTTCTCGTACATGAGATAGATTATGGAAAGTGTAAAGAGGAGGGTGTGTGGTGTGGACATGACATCGTTGCGACGGAGTTTTTTGCAATAAAAACTACGCTGCAGGGCTATTGTCAAGAGCCACGGTCGTCATACAGATCACGACGGGTGAGACTCCAAAGTCATTTTAATATAACGTACTCATCCTCTGTTTTTTCTGTATACATCTCCTTAGACATGGGACAAGCTGATGTTTATATCTAGCGTTGTATCAACATTACAGCATATTCTTTGTGTACAGTATAATTTATGTACTATGTTCAAGTACTTAGAATTCCAAAGCCTTTTGTTTGGATGCCGCTCATTAAAATGTCAAAAAAGTCATGAAATGGGGCGTCTGTTAGTAAGAAAGCCTGGAGATAATTATGTTCATGTTCAGAGTTCGTGGAATGTGTTTATAACGATCGGGTTAATATCAAGATATCAGTCCAGAGTTTCCAGAGGTGAGATTAGCTTGGACGTTGGATCAATGTAGTAATTTCTTGCTAGAGGTGAATATTTAGCAGGGAAAAGATTAAGTGCTTCGTTTAAAAAGGGACACTGTAGCAAAATATAAGGCAATAGACATATACATATAAGCACTTTCATGTCAAGATTTATAAAAGACATTTAACTTATCGACTTCTTTGTTCTTGGTCGTTAATTTTCCTAGTTAAAAATATGAAGAAAAAAATTATTGAACAGAGACAGAATTTTCATCTGAAAATAGGAAAAATGTGGAATAATAAATGTAGCATGGAAAATAGAAATCTTCCAATATTCTTCCATAACAACAGAGTGTAAGGGTTTGTTTGTAATTAAGCACAAAACTACACAACGGGCTATCTGTGCTCTGCCCACCACGGGTATGAAAACCCGGTTTCTAGCGTTGTAAGTCCGCAGACATACCGTTTTGCTACTGGGGAGGCTGGTATACGAAAGACATTATAACCTTTTTTTTTTGTTTTGTTTTTAAGTTAAACACAATGGGCTATCTGTGCTTTGCCCACCACGGGTATCGAAATCCGGTTTCTAGCGTTGTAAGTCCGCAGACTTATCGCTGTGCCATTGGGGGGGGGGGCGAGTGTAAGGGATATGTATAAACGAACGCCATACACCAAATGAACTCTTCTGTATAAAACTTATAATGATTCGTTGCGTAGAACTCTTTAGGGCAGTGTTTCTCAACCGGTGGTTCTCTAAACCCTAGGGGTTCGAGAGATAATTCTGCGATAAAGATTTGGTAATGGCATCTTTTCCACTTTCCTGGTTTTACAATTTTTACCAGTTTTAATTTCCTTCTAATTTATTACAATATTTACGGAAGGAAATGGGAGCCGTTTGCGTTGCATAGATTCCGGTTTTATTGTAAATGCGTTACAGAAACTTTTTTATTTTCAACAACTTCAACACGTTCAAAAGTTATTTTATTTAAAACATTTATTGCTGCTTAAAAGGGGTTCGCTGCGAAAATTATTACTACTCAAGGGGTCCTCGAAGAGATAAAGGTTGAGGACCGCTGCTTTAGGGTAACCTTAGCTATTACTGCTCGAAGCTGGGTGTATTAATACAGATTTTTGGCTCAGCGGTAAGTATGCAGACTTATGACGCTAAAAATCTGGTTTCTATACCCATGGTATGCAGAGCACAGAGAGCATATTGTGTAGCTTTTGGACTTATCAACAACTGAACCAAATCACCACCTACTGGAAAGAATCAGTTATACCGTATTAAAATTATGGACGGATAAAAAAACAAAAACATCATGAATGCGAAGGAGATACTAATTTCTCACTGTATTACAGACTATACATAATTTAGTAGTGGAACCTAATAAGTGACAACGTTTGTTTAGACTTCCCTTCTTAATCCCGTTGCGTATTGATCAACGGCAGGCTATATCACGACTGTTCACTGGGCAACATTAATTACGTTTCGATGCCACGGAAAGTTAACTAAAAAAGAAAGAAAGCGTGACACGCATTCTCGTACATTACATCAATATTAACAACCTTGGAAACTTGATTTGTTCCGATGACCGTTGAATATATTCACCTGATTAATCTACAACACCACTTCCTCCATTTCGTTTTCTTACGTCATGACAAATTGAAAATGATGAACCCTAAATCCCCACTCTTCATTCATAAATATAGGGTATCAAATAAGCATTAGTTATTACGAACGCCATACCTCAGAGTATTATATTCATTAAATATAACAGGTTTGTCCAGTTAAGTGTGCTGTGAACGAAATATTATTTATTTATTCCCGGCCTATTGCTTTTTAACGTTCGTATATTCGGTAGTGTTTGCAAGATATAAAATTAGCTATGTAACGATTTCTGCTCATTACAGTTAAAGTAAAATTTTAGAAATTAACACAGTTATTTACATTAGAGATTTTATAGTCCTACATGAATTTAATGAGATTAAGCCTAACCCCTTATTGTTAATCCTATTTGAAGATTCGATCACAGGATATTTTATAATCATCCAATAACTTAATGAATCCAATTACGGTTTTTCCTTATTTCATCTTCAGTCATAACTTGCTAATCCCATGTACTTGAAAGACATCGTTCGGAAAACGAACGTGTTCAAATAATGATGATATAATACTTTTAACAAGAGTCTTGCCACTTTTTTGAATGTCTAGGGTGCTATTATGAAACTTTCTGCAAAGTTGTAATGCATATGAAACTATCAGCCTTCCATTTGAAACATATCATGAAATGCAACTTATCAAAACTTATTGTTCCCACGTTTCAGATAATGAGTATACTAATCACCAATGTCCACATCAAGTCTACGAAGTCTAATATACAGTTGTTTCATTATAATGGTTTACTGACCCTAATGGGCCCGGCATGGCCACGTGGCTAGGGCGCTCGACTCGCAATCTGAGGGTTCGAATCCCTATCACACCAAACATGCTGGCCCTTTCAGCCGTGGGGGCGTTATAATGTGACGGTCAATCCCACTATTCGTTGGTAAAAGAGTAGCCCAAGAGTTGGCGGTGGGTGGTGATGCCTTTTCCTACATATTTCTGTTAGAAAACAAAAGAAACCGAAACCTAACTAATACTTTACTTACAGTTCTCTGGCTAAACACATACTAAGTTATAGCTATTGCGCTGCATAAGTCATTAAGTGTATACTTTATAGCAATTATATCAGCCTGTCATTGGCAATAAGAGCAGATTGATCTAATACAACTTTATCCTTTTACCAAGTCAGATAAAGTAGAAACGTTAGATATGTTTTGGACTTTAGAAGTTCGTTCTATCACTTCCATAAGAACAGGATAAGATAATAAATCAATTAATCACAGAACATTGTAAGTTTTGTCTGATTGCTTTTTCTTTATTGTTAAGCACAAAACTACACAATGGGCTTCCTGACCCGTGCCCATGGCAGATATCGAACTCTGAATTTATCGTTATAATGTTTCTGGTTAGCTAATTATTGTGTAATTAGTATTCTGGAGTAAGATGTAGTGATAATAACTGATGAGTCTCCTCCTCAAAGAAACAAAGAAGAGAAATAAATTTCAGGAGTTGAAACGAAAAAAAAAACACTTCTAATTTTACCTCTTTACCACGTAATCTTTGTTTTGTTTAAATTTCGATTTGCCCGTTCATTGTTAAGAGCAAAGCAATGGGCTGTCTGTGTTGTGCCCACCACGAATATTGAAACCCGGTTTTTAGCGGTATTAGCCCTCAGACTTACTGCTGAGCCACTTCGATAAGAAGTTCAGTCTGTTTCTAATATTCTTTAATTTCACGTTAGTTAAATATACCACAATTTCATTCAATGGTTTATATTTTTTCTTTTTTTTATAACGATTACGTAAACTAAATTTTGTGAATGTAGAGTAAGAAACAACAACAACACTTGTCTCGATATCAACAAGTGCTCCAGGTGGTTGACTCGTAATCTGATGGTCGCGGGTACGAATCCCCGTCCCACCAAACATGCTCGCCCTTTCAGCCGTGGAAGCGTTATAATGTTATGGTCAATCCCACTATTCCTTGGTAAAAGAGTAACCAAAGAGTTGGCGGTGGGTGGTGATGACTAGCTGTTTTCTCTCTAGTCTTTCACTGCTAAATTAGGGACGGCTAGCGCAGATAGCCGTCGTGTAACTTTGCGCGAAATTCAAACAAACAAACATGTGTTCATCCAGTGTGAATGGATAAGATTATCAGTTAGGCTTAAATATTTCACAATATTGAAGTATGTTACGAACATTTCAATTGTTATAATAGATGTATATATGCATATATATATATATATATAGATCTCACAATATACCTTACTACTAATACTCTGAAACAAACACGATCTCTATAGGGTTTTGAGTCTGTTTTACTTCACCATATAGTAAGAAGTATTTAACATATATACAAACACGATCTCTATAGGGTTTTGAGTCTGTTTTACTTCACCATATAGTAAGAAGTATTTAACATATATACAAACACGATCTCTGCGGTTAAACTTCAATTCATTATTGATTTTGTAATAGTTTAGTTTTCACAACAATACAAAAGAGTGTCCATAACATAAAAATGAAACAAGAAATAATAGTCGGTTATTATACGAAGTATTATTTTTGCGTTGTTTATTAATTAACAATCGATGTATGTATATTTATTATGCCTTTTACACAAATATGGAAACAATGTAAAATTAAATAACGGAAATACCTCTTTCTAGAGTTTGCTCGAATACGTTGTTACCGCCCTCTGGTGTACAATTCCAACGTTCGTGTCTGAACTGACGCTGACATTCGAGGATACCCAACTTAGCTCCGGCACTTACTGCTTGGATAGCATCAGGGTATTCCTTACAAATTTGAATTTGTTTGGGAACCAAGTCAGGAACAAAAGCACATATAGATGTTTCTGGACTAATAGGTTGGTCAGATTTTGGAACATCATGAATTGTTGACTCAAGTTCAGGGTTGGATACTCCAAGAATAGCTAGGTACCTGTGTTAAGAAAGAGAGACCTATATTTTACACATGTATATGGTTGATATATTTATATAAAACAAACATTAAGTTATATATATTACTGATGCATATATAAAAGACATTCTCATTAGCATATTTATAGGCTGTATGATCTATACACAGATAATCTTTTAGGAAAATTACCTGTATGTCTTTATTTATTCGTCGTGTATATGCACAATTCTAAGGAGAAATACCTCTAACAATATAACTCCCCCTGGTGTCAAAATACTTCTAACAATATAACTCTGCCAGACTCGTTATCGTATAATTGTTTTGTTTGTTTGTTGTTTTTTTAATTATGCACAAAGCTACAAAAGGGCTATCTGTGTTCTGCCCACCACGGGTATCGAAACCCAGTTTCTAGCGTTGTAAGTCCGCAGACATACCGCTGTGCCACTGGGGTGGCTTATCGTGTAATAGAAACAGCTTAGATTATACCTTCAAACTATTTATTTTAATACTTTGCGACATCAGATACATATACAAATATTAAAGTAGCCTAATCGATTATATTATTGTAAATAAAACATTATTTTTGAGTACTATTCATTACAATTATAATCAATGCTAATTGTTACAGCGTTCATAAATTAAGAACACTTAGGCCATGTAAAGTTAATTAATTGATTCTCAGGCAAAAATGGTGATTTGATTTTATTCCTTTTGTTTTCAGTTGTTGATGGTAATATGTTTTACACAATATTTTGTCGTCGCTGAACGGTCAGGAAATAAGCACTGCTTTATTGACTAATTATGACAAACAGTTACTTGGTGACCTTAAAAATAGACAAAAAAGCGGTCTTATAACTTGGTGTTTTTTATGTTTTCGTTTGAAAAACATTTTATGTTGACCAATAAGTCTTTCGTTGCAATCACAAACATATTTACTGTAATTTTTCTAAGCAATTTTACGAATCTGCTTTCTCCAATAATAATAATAATATTATACACACTAGAAAGACTTGACCAGCTTGAATAAATAATTCGACAGATTCGTTTATTTACCCTTGCAGTTGAAGATCATATGTTTCAAAATTATTCCAGTAACTAAAATAATGAATTGTCTACTTAATGAAATGTCTCCCTATAAGTTGGCCCGGCATGGCCAGGTGGTTAGGGCGCTCGACTCGCAATCTGCGGGTCGCGGGTTCGAATCCCCGTCACACTAAACATGCTCGCCCTTTCAGCGTTATAATGTGACGGTCAATCCCACTATTCGTCGGTAAAAGAGTAGCCCAAGAGTTGGCGGTGGGTAGTGATGACTTCCCTCTAGTCTTACACTGCTAAATTAGGGACGACTAGCGCAGATAGTCCTTGTGTACCTTTGCGCGAAATCCATAACAAACAAACAAACCCTATAAGTTTGCGGACTTACAACGCTAAAATCCGGGTTTAGATTCTTCGCGGTGGACACAGCAAATAGCCCAATGTAGTTTTGTTCTTAAAACAAACAGCCAAACGTAATGAAACACGAATGCCCTCTGTGGATTACAACTTCAACGATAAGTGGTAAATAGCTGATTACCTGCGTTGAAAGCCGTGACAAAGTACACATGAGCACGTGTTTTTGAAGTAATATTTTCAATTGCATAGTTTACATGTCGAGTTATTTCTGTTTGTCCTAGAGCAAAATGAAAAAAAAAATCATTGAAAAGCGATCAAGCGATTTATTGTAACGCAGGAATGTTCCACCTTCGCGAAAAGGGGCCGGAAGGTGTAAGTTACTACTATTAAGGCTGAATATAAGCAATTCCCTATATAATTGAATTGCATTTGCACACCAACCCTTTCATTACAGTGGTAAACATGTGATAAATTACAGTAAGACTGAAGTGTAACACCCATTTAACTCGCTTATCAGTCAGAATATTATGACGTTTTTTGTGTTGTTATTTTTTTCCTGATAGTACAGTTAGTTTAGAGCGTTTCAAATTCCATTATGTAATACAGCGTAATGGATCTTGTACCACTCGTGTTTGGGTGAGGTGGCCCAGGCGGGATCTTATTTACTGGAGGTAATTAACAGCATATCACAAGGTGAAAATCATTCCTCTACAGCTTAGCCAACCCTTTATTTGGCAAGAAACCCGAGAATGTTAAAAAAGGTTAAAGTGGGGTCACGGCTAACCCACACACTTAAGAAAGGAAACTCTTTCGTACTTAATATTAACACGAGAAGTGTTCTCAGAACAGGTTCTTACGGGATTAATAGACCTTGCTCCACTGATAGGTGGGTGCAGAAGATTGTCAGACACCTACATAAAACCTATCTGAGTTACTCGGACCACCTGCGAAATCAAAACTAGACAGGCGGGAAAGATATTTTGTAAACTAAAAAAAAAAAAAAGAGAGAAACTAATTGTTTTCTTTATATATGTATATATATATGGTCACGTGGTTATAATTAGTAGTATAAAAACGCTTAAGAATGTTTTAAAAGTCCATTGAAAAGTTGGCGTCTGTATCTGTTTTCCTGTAATTTTCTCAGCATTTCGTATGGTATAATATTTTCCCCATTCCAATGTTATTTGTTCCATTCTTTGTATGGATGGAATAGACATCAGAATAGGAAACCTGATGAAGATCATCAGATGCTCTGAGAATAACATTCTATATATGTATGTATATTTAGAACAATGTTGCATTGTTCGTAAGGCGTTAGTAGGATGCTAATAGGTTTCACTCAGCTTAGAGCACCATAGAGTCGTTTGTTTTTTTTTACCAGTGAGTCAGAAACTTCTGAAGAAACATAACTACCAAATACGTGGTGTTCAAATTAAAATGGCGTCAATTTGAGGCAATTCCTTATAGCTGTGAACATACACAAGTTTTAAAGCGCCACCTATCTTTGATAGCACATCAAATGTTGACGTTGTTGTTGTTTTGAATTTATACATTATATTACAAAAAACTCTGGGACAATTCATATCCAGCTATTAATGGGCTCGCTCCTTCTGCTTGTGAATATTGTGACGGATTGCTGTGTAGTCAGAAGCTGTTGCTTGATACCCGGTATTTATTCGTGAGTAAGAAAAAACCCAGCTGGGGTTTGGATATCCCGGGGTCTTAGGTGAATACCACAGCGAGTTGGAGTCAAAATGCCTAGGGGAAAGGAGATCAAGACATTTAAAGAGAATGTTTACTGGATGAGGCATTGGTAATACTAGTGTCTGAAACATTTCCATCTTCTTACTTCCATTCACGTCCACTGTAAGAAATATACGTCCACCAACCACCACGAAGAGTGTTGTAAAACGTAAATGCCTAGGGGAAAGGAGATCAAGACATTTAAAGAGAATGTTTACTGGATGAGGCATTGGTAATACTAGTGTCTGAAACATTTCGATCTTCTTATTTCCATTCACGTCCACTGTAAGAAATATACGTCCACCAACCACCACGAAGAGTGTTGTAAAACGTAAATGCCTATCTGGGATGAAATCTATAATTCAGGACTTTAGTGAGAGTTTAGGATTGCAAGGCATCACGTTCACTGTGCACAGGAAGCGCTATGCTGCTACTTAACTAACAAGCTGCAATCCATAAGCCACTCTTCACATCCGTGATTGACAAGGTCTCACGACGATAAAATATCTACGTGGATTTGACATGAATACATAAAGAGGTTTACCTAGGCATCAGAAACTAATATCGCTTTGCGTACTCGAAAAACCTGCATGGGTATGATGAGTGTAATAATGTACTTTGAGCGCATGAAGAGTCCACGTGGGCGTAATAACCAATATTGAACATTTAGACGTTCATAAAGTTTGTTTTCTGTTACTTATTGAAAACACTATTCGTTGGTAAAAGAGTAGCTTAAGAGTTGGCGGTGGGTGGTGATGACTAGCTGCCTTCCCTCTAGTCTTACACTGCTAAATTAGGGACGGCTAGCGCAGATAGCCCTCGTGTAGCTTTGCGCGAAATTCCAAAACAAAAAACTTATTGAAATATGAACAGCCAATAAGCTTATTTCGTAAAAATAATGATTATCTATTGTATTTTACTGAAGATTTTGATCAGTGCAACTTTATCACCACAATCACCAACGTCTTAGGTTACTGATTAATTAAAAATACTGTGGCGAGTACAAGACTTATTAAGAGTAATTACTTGAGAAAATGAAGTATTTCAATCTTAAACAATATTACTACTTAAAACCATCATACAGTAGTTTGAATACATGTCACTTATTTCGATGTTTACCTGCATTTAGAACGATTTTTCAGGGTAAAACTGTTTCTTTAGTTGCCTTTTTTTTTTTTGTTTTAGATAGAGTCAAACTTTTCTTATAACATTTATTTTTATGTAACGCGTTCTATACACCTAAAGGTTACACATTTTTCTTCTGTGGCTATATTAATACCAGTGATAAATTTGCGCGGGTCGTTACACAAGGCGGAACAGACTTAAGACTATCACGTGTCTTGAAAAAGTTTTAACAGCTGCAGGATAACTTATTCTCCATTGCCAACCACTTTGATACTCTACTACATGATGCCGTTCATCAGTGTAGTACTTCTGAATGTTTCCACCACACAAAAACACGCACTACCTCAAGGAAAGGTCAATATAGACTTAGAACTTTATGACCAGATGTTTCAACATCTCATTTTTGTTACCTTACTGATGACAAATTACACTTTACACCGTAACAGATGTTGTCACTCAAATAGAATCTCATCCACTGCTGTGTCTGTTAAAAAATAAATTGGCAAAAAAAGATTTATAAACACAATGAAGTGATTTTTATTTTTGTGAAAACACTACTTGTTTCGACCGATCATTGGTCTGTCTTCTTCAGGTACCCTTTTTGTCCAAGATATCTGTCTAGCTGAAGAAGACAAGACCAGTGTTTTGTTTTCACCAAAAATATACCACTTCGTTATGCTTATAAATCGCCGTTTGCCAGTTTATTTATATATTAGCTGAAGTACCCGTCCCCTGGACTGAAGTTATGTAAATTCGTGATT